TCTCGCGCACCCCCCCGCCGCGCACGTACATAGAGATCCATATCCCCCTGCCTCTTCCGGTCGGCGCATGGATCGCGCTCTCGCTCGAGGATTGGGTCTGATCGGTAGCCATCGCACCCCCCCGCCCGCCCGCGCGCGCTCGCAGATCGCTCTTTCTTTTCGGTGATCGCGCGCGCGCCCACCTGCTCAAGATCGAGCGGCCGATAGAGAGAGAGAGCGACTTTTCTCCTCTGTCGATACCTCGCCTCCTCAGGCGCTGCCACACCGTGTTATAAAGTGGGAGAGAGAGACCCCCACGCGTGGAGAGAAGCAAAGGAGGGTTGATTGAAAGAAAAGATGATAGTTGTATATAACTATCTGTCAGAGAGTGCAGGAGAGAGTTTGGATGGTGGGGGGTGTGACTAACTGGTTGGGTGTGTGTGTGTGTGTGTGTATATATATATATATATCTTTAGTAAGTGTATGCGTGGGGGGGTAAGTGTAGAAGGGAAGGGGAGATGGAAACAAAGAACAAAAGACACACACACACGCCCGCTCATGTATGCGAGAGACAGCCACAAACCCACAGAGCGGGCGGGGGGCCGGGGGTAGGGATGGTGTGTGTGTGTGTGTGTGTATATATATATATACATGTTTTGTGTATGCAAGAAAAGATATGTGTATGCCTATATATATATGTGTATATTTCTATTTCCCATAAATTCATAGCCTATACCCAATATATATATAAATATATATATATATATATATATATATATATATTATATAATATTTATGGAAAAAATAAAGTTGAAAACTAATTGTGCTCTTGTTTGAGAATTTAGGGCATGTTTGGCTAAATTTGTTTTGAATAGTTGACAAGCTTTAATGTCTGATAAGTTCTTTTAATAATTGGTATGGTAAGTTGTTACTTGTCTTATAAGATGTTTAAGAATTTATAAGTTCTTCTCAAGTGTTCGATGATTAAAAAAAAATCTTGAAAATTCAAAAAATTAAACTGATTTGGAGCAAATAAGATTTTTTTTTATATATATATAAATACATTGATCCACTTTTTATTTACGGTTTATAATGAATACGTATAGCTTATATGATCATTATCCAAACACTATAAAAATATAAGACATAACAATTAATCAACTCATAGAAGTACTTATCAGACGTTAGAGTTTATCAATTGTTTAAAATAAGACATAATAACATATCACCTCTTCAAAAGTACTTATCAGAAGTTAGAGTTTATCATCTATTTAAAATAAGTTTAGCCAAACTGACCCTTAAAGACATATATCGTGTTCTGCACATGTTTGACTAAGCTTATAAACGGTTAAAAATGCTTATAATATGCTTCAACGCTTAAAAGCTCTTTCAAGTTGTTTAGTAATTTTTTTCTCAAAACGATCTTAATTCTTTTAAATATGAGATTCTAGAGAGCAAATAGATTTTTTTTTAAAATACATGTGATCATTGTCCAAATACAATAATTATTAATTCTAATAATAAAACATAGCAAATTATTAATTTTTAAAACAACTTATCAAACGTAATAGTTTTTCAGCTATCTAGAATACATTTAGCCAAACAGACCTTTAGTCAATACGTACGTGGAGCCTTTAACTTTATTTGAAATGGCGCAAAATCTTTAATGATAGGGTAAATAGAAACACCAAAATCTCGTCTTAAGCATCTAATCATTCGTTAAAAATCAAAAGATTTATTAATCATTTAATAATGAAATAATAATATTTATTATTCAAATAAATGTTGCTTCGGCCACATTAATTGATGGATTATTCCTATGATTAAGATATTCACAAGTCCTACGTGGCCTAGGCCCCTATCCCTCTCACTCTAAATTTATAATTTAACAATGTATTTTATTAACATAGCATAAACTTTCTGTGACATAGCATATTCTAGATGTACCATTTTATTGTTATTTTACTATAATAATTCACACTTAGAAATATTATTATATTACAGTCGGATGATTAAATACCTTCTAAGCCACGTGTGACAATCCTATTGGTTGATCCTATCTAACATTGGTGGAGCATAATTATGGGCTAAGATTATAGCCCAATTCCATGTGATCTAGTCCACCTAAAGCATATTAGGTGGTGTTTGAAAATGCGTTTCAAAATAGCTTATAAGCTTCTTTTTTTCCTACTTCATAACCTGTGTTAGGAGTTTGTAAAATTAACTTTTGCTTTTGTTTCTTTTAAAATCAACCTTATACTGTCTTTTCTATTTATATTCATTTTCCATAAATTTGCAAACACCCCCACTTTGAAAAATAAATACTGAATATCTACATAACTCGCAATAAAAAAACTTCTGCTTTTGAATAAGCTTTTGCAGGCATCACCTTAATTTCTTAATTATTTAATATTAGTAAAGAACACTAATTCATATTCATTTTGAAGTTTAGAGGGTGATTTACGTGTTTTAAGAAATATTCTCGGGATCAAATGCTGACGTATAACGCTTATTATTGTGACGAGCGTAACTAAATATGTAACAAAAAGTACCACAATTTATTTCAATTTTGTACAAAGTAAATAATCAATCAATACACAAACATGGCAAATTTGCCAACACAATCTCACCTTATTTCTCACTCACAACAATTAAATTAAAAACAAACCAAAAACAAAAAAAAAAAAAGATATATATATATATATATATATATATATATATATATATATATATATATATTAAAACATATTCACATTAAATAGCTAAAACAAAAGCCGCCACACTTCCAAGAAAACTAGCGACACCAACAATGGAAGAAGAAGCGCCGTTATTGGGAGGAGAATCCTCCTCCGACGGCGCCGGAGTTGGGTTCTCCTCCGCCCCATCCGACGGCGGAGACTCACCGGAAGGAGCCGGGGACGGCGGCGGCACTGGCACATTCTCCGGCGACGGAGGAGGAGATGGCGGCGCCGCCGATGATCCATGCTTACCGGTTCTGTCGGCCATAACAACCACCACCAGCTTCTCGTTTTTCCGGCAATGATCGGCGACACCGCTGATGAAGTAATGTGGGCCCGACTGGTTGAACTTGAACACGGTGTGGCCGTCGGCGAACTTCTCCGCCGGCGACTCAGTGTTGCAGCTTTCGTAGTCGTATTTGCTTACGTGGAGAACCGAGTCCACGTCAGCATTGTACACAAACACTGCACCAAGAAGTTGAGCAATGAAATCATATTAATAATAAATATTACAAATATAAAAATGAATATTTATTAATTTTCTTTTGTTTATATTTATTTTATTAATCACTAGTAATACTTAGGAAAAAAGGGATTTTTGTGGAGAAAAATAACTTACGCAATGTATCGCCGATTTGAAATCGGTTTTTTTGAGCCCACTGATTATAAAACGAAGCAGCATTAGAATCATCGCTGGGGACTTTCCAACTAGCCGTTGGACCTCCGACTTTGAATTCAAACGCATGGCCTATTTGAATTAGCAACAAAAACCCCAGAAAATAACCGAAAACACGAAAGATTTCTCGATTTATTTGAGCCATTTTGTATGTATGTATGTATAACTCCAAGACTAGAGTTATATTTGATTTGATTGAAGATATTGAAATGATTTGTATCACACAAATGAAGGTATTTGTAGGTGAGAATTGAGCTAACTTTATAAGATGTGGGAATGAAGCTTTTGGTTCCTTTCTTGTTTATTCTTTCCTCTCTCATTAGATTTCTTTAATAATATTCTACCTTTTATTTATTTATTTTCATTTTTTGAATTTATACTTTGCTTGATAATCATCAAGAATCTTCAAGCCTTGCACTTTGGGTAATGGTATATCTAAACCATTTTAATTGGATAAATTAGAATTAGAAAAAGGGTAAATTACAGTCAAGCTCCTGAGGTAATGTTAAATAACGAAAAAAATTTGTTCATGTTTGAGTAATTACAACCACTCATCAACTATGAATCTTCTTACATGTCCACATGTGGTACCAGATTTAGTGGAATCTTCTAAATTATATGGAATATTCTCTAGTTTGTACCTATTTTACCCCATACGAGCTCCACAATTCGACACGAGATGATCATAATATGTACATTGACCTGTAAATATTAGATTGTGATGCATCAGAAACTACATTTCTACATATAACGAGTATGAACTATAAAATATTTCACGAAATCTAGAAGACTAAGTTGAATTTGACACCATAAGAGTGGACGTGTAAGAAAATTCGTAATTGAGGGGATGATAGTAATTATCCGAACATGACATATTTTCTCATAATTCGACATTTCCTCTGGGGTGTCCGGAATTTACCCTATTAAAATATGTTATACTAGGAACATTCCTTAATTTGTTAAAAAAAATGTTATATACCACAAACATTCCAAAAAAAAAAATCAATTTGGCAAATTGCACTTTATGAAGTAAGAGGAAAATAATTCTTTATAGTTGGATTAATTAATGCAAATAATTGGTCAAGATCCAACATAAAATACGGGTCAATCAATTCAAACTCAACCGGATCCGACCCGACCCAATTCTCAATCTTAACAGGCTACGCTAAAAGCCCATTAAAAACCGAGTCGATTGGACCGGCCCATTTCCAAGTCAAACCGATCTACCCTCCACGCTCAACACTCAGCGCGTGTACGCAACGCACCACCTCCACCATTTGAAAAGCACCCGCGAAAAAAATGGCGACTGGACACCAAGTCCATCGATCCCCCGCCACTTTCGCGCCGTGTTGTAGTCCGCTTGAAAATTTGAAGAAGTAGCAGCACTGAATCGACTTTAAAGAGAGAGAGAAACTAGAGAGAGAGAGAGAGAGAGAGAGAGAGAGAGAGAGAGAAATTAACCCTGTTCATCACCACCATTAGCGTTGACGCATAAAAAAAGCGTTGGTTTGTGGATTGGGTGTTGGGGTTCGGGTCGGGTCGGGCATTTCTGTGGATCCACCTTCTTCACCCAAAACCGCCAACAGCTACAATCATTCACCGACGACCAAACACAACTGATTTTTCCTTCTATAATTTTATTAATCTATTTTTTATTTATTTTTTGTTAACAGAGGAATCAATCAGCTACTGGATTTTGGAACCCTCTGTCAACGATAATAATACAACATTTCAACCTAATTTCTGATTTTCCCACCTTTTCGAGAGAAAAAAAAGGATTATTTATTTAATTTATTCAAAATGATGTACATTGGAGATATGTGGAGGGATCCAGGAACTCCAGCTGATTCATATTACGAGGTCCGGGCTGAATGCGCCGATGACGTTCCGGAAAGCAAGTTCAGAATCAAGGTTTGTTTTTCCCCATTTTTCAATTTTCAATTTTCAATTTTTTATTTTTTATTTATATATTAGGATGTTCTGTTAATTGGTAATATATTGCATTGATTGATGTTGTTTGCATTATTTATTATGAAGTTTGCGAAATGGATGAGATTTTTTTTTCGTGGATTGTGTAATGAATGTTCGAATGATATTTTCGCACCATCATGAAGTTTGCTTTAATTAGGGTTTCGAAAGGATCATTTCCTCCTGTTGGGATTCCGATTTACCATTGTGGAATTGATGGAGCAGAGAGGATAATTGTGAAAGCTAGTTCGTTTGAATTAAGTAATTTTTTTTATACTTTATTTATTCGCATGATTTTATTTCATTAGATTTTCTCATAGCAGATGAAAGAATTATTGGTTTCCTAGGTCGAATCGGTTCTCGTGAAAAAGCAAAATGTGAAAAAATCTCGAGTTTCGGCTCTGATTGAACTGCGAGAGAGATCTCAAATTGGCGAACCACATTGTCCAGCATGCAAACTCAATTACAACCTCACATCACAATTTTTTTTCTCGTATTATTGTTTGTCACTCGGATCTTAGTAGCTCTAGATACATAATTATGAACGTATTCATATTTAATTGGCATTTATCTTCTCTCCTTGTGGATTTCTCGATACAAGTTCAACTGCTTATATTTCAGAAAAAACGATTGGTGAAATTCCATTCGCATAAAAAAAAACATTATGCCGTCATATGAGATCTCTCCTCTCCACCCTGTTTAGTAGTGCCTAGTCAAATTACACCGAATGCTCGAGATATTATTTACATTTCCAGAGTTATCAAATTGTGTCATTGCATAGATTCCAGATTTTATTTTACTACCACTTGCTTGTGCGTGTACGTACTCGGTAACGAGTGGTCATGTATTTCTTTGTCTACATGATAGCTTATTTTGAGCAGTATTTCGTTTGTCGTTAGCTCGAACTCTGGTTTGTAAGCTAATCTTAAGCAATTAGTTCGTTTATGTTCATTGTCCCTTAACTATGAATCCAAATATTGTACTACTTTTTCTCGATTTACAGGAAATTCTATTTGGATCACATATAATAATTCTTGCTCATTTCAGCTCCCGTAACCCCAACTCTGTTTAACCTTCTAATGCAAATCGTTCTTTTCCCCTACGTAATTAGAACGGCAAAACATTAAGTGAAAGGAAATGGAAGGCTGCTTTCTCTCCAGATGGTTATCTTGATATAGGCAAAACACTCGGTCGAATTCAACGCGGGGTAAGCTTTTCTCCGGGTTGTGTTTACTGCTACTGCTTCTCACGTAGTAAATGTTTCAAAACCTACTATCTTAATGTAAACACTATCTTTTGAAAACTTTCCTTGTGCATTTACCCGATTTTTCTTGGTTAGTGCATGTAATGTGTAATGTATATTAGAAGTGTTATCATAGTACCTTTGACGAAAAATTGTGATTATGAATATATTTCTTATGATTATCGTTATCTCGAAATAGGGAATCCACCCGTCAATTAGAGGTGAAGTTTGGGAATTTTTATTGGGCTGTTATGATCCTATAAGCTCTTATGATGATCGACAGGATATACGACAGCGTCGAAGGTACTTTCTTTTGACCGTGTATCGTTTTTCTGCCATTATTATCTTTTCTGGGCGAGGATAGCTTGCATGTGTGATAAACTATTGTGTGTTTTTCTCCTGCGTATCCTTCAGATTGAAGTACGAAGTCTACAAAGAAGAGTGTAGACAAATGTTTCACTTGGTCGGAAGTGGGAGGTTTGTCACCGCACCAATAATCTTGGAAAATGGCGAACCGACTCAGGATCCCATTGCACTTCAGCAAATTAATCCTGGTAAGGAATGCCGATCGAGAAGAGTATACATTAACAAAGCTCAAGCTGCACATTAGTTACTAATTCTTCGAAATTGTATCTTGCAATAACAGATGGTTCTAGCGACTGTCATGCGTGGAAAAAAACAAATGGCAATGGTCCTATGGACAAGAAAGAAATTGATTGGAAACTTACATTACATCAAATAGGTTCGTATTTAGTTATTTTGACGTGCATGCTTATTTTTTATATAGCCTTTTTCCCTATCCAATGGCTGGTGACAGTATAAACGTGTTTTGATATTTATGCCAGGTCTTGATGTGGTCCGTACAGACCGAACTCTCGTGTTCTTTGAGAAACAAGAAAACCTGTCGAAACTTTGGGATATCCTGTCCGTCTACTCCTGGTTCGATTCAGATGTCGGGTATTGCCAAGGTGAGTCAAAATTTTCCTTTATATATTTTCTCTTCACTTGCTTTTTTTTTTTCTTTTTTTTTTTTTATTGCACGAGTCAATAGACGAAGGATCTTTGTTTGAAGTTTTTGCATGCTGAGCAGGTATGAGTGATCTTTGCTCCCCAATGATTATGCTCCTCGAGGATGAAGCAGATGCATTTTGGTGCTTTGAACGCTTGATGCGGAGATTGGTACCATTTTTTTATTCCTCTCCATTATTAATACGTGATGGGTTTCTTATTGTTGTTGATGTCGTATTCCTTCTTTATAAATATCTCAAACAATTTGGTACGGTGAAAGTGATTATTCTCCGTTTGATTTCTTAATGCCTTTTGCTTACTACTCATCAGCTGCTTACGATATTTTGTTGTTTACTGAAATTGAAGCGAGGGAATTTCAGATGCACCGAGACCTCTGTGGGGGTGGAGTCGCAACTTAGTAATCTTGCTTCAGTAATACAAGTTATTGATCCTAAACTTCACCAGCACTTAGGTATTGTCTTCGCCACTATGATGCTAAATTATCTGCCTCGTTTTTCCAAGTAATAGATACGTCATTTTATTTCAATTTTTTTTTCTTGAAAACAGAGACCTTAGGTGGGGGTGATTACCTTTTCGCTTTCCGAATGCTTATGGTTTTGTTTCGCCGAGAATTCTCTTTTGGCGATTCATTATACCTTTGGGAGGTAACGTTTCATATCTTGCGTATGATTTTTTCCAACTTCTGCGCAAAATATGAACGAAATTCAATATCTTATTTGCTGATTCGTCCTTCTTAAACAGATGATGTGGGCCCTGGAGTACGATCCCGATTTATTCTCCATGTACGAGGAAAGTGATTCATCCGCAGATAAATCAGAGGCTGCTAAAGAAAAGGCCAAGTCAAGGAGGCAGTGTGGAAAATACGAAAGAGAGAATTTGAGAAACGCAGGCCATACACCTCTCCCTATCTCGGTTTTCCTCGTAGCAAGTGTTCTCAAGGACAAGAGTCCTAAGTTGCTAGCCGAAGCCCGAGGCTTAGACGATGTTGTTAAGGTTAGCTCCACCACTTTACGCAAAAAAATCTCTACACACTTGCTGATTTTTTACATTCCCTTATAAATCTATAAAAGGAGATACACGAAATTCGAACGAATAAGAATCTTGGTTAAAATGCAATGGAATAGTGTGTAACTTTTCGTTTTTTTTTTCTTTTTTCTTTCTAAATATTTTCAGATACTGAACGACATGACTGGTAATCTCGATGCCAAGAAAGCTTGCGCGGGAGCCATGAAGCTTCACAAGAAGTATCTTAAAAAGGTATCGATCACTCCTCACTGTGTGTGCGTGTATGTGTTTCGTCTCTATTTGTTTCTAAGATTATTGCCATAACGATCAATGTTCTTGTCTCTTACACTGTTCTTTCGATACAATGTTCTTGCAGGTGAAGAATGTGTCGTAAGAGGACTAGAATTCAGCCTATCCAATGAATATGTCTCGGGATTTGCTTTTTTTGTCGGAGTACATATATACACGCCTTGAATATTACACCGTTGTTTGTATGTGAAACGATTGTTATATTTTTTATTTTTTTTATATTTTTTTGTGTGTACTAGCTAGCAAAGACTGCTGTAGATATATTTATACAAGAAGTGATTTTTTTATTTTATTTATGTAGATATAAGAACATCAATTTTGGCACCGAACATGTTTCTTTCTTACTGAAGCAAGAATAAAAGAATATCGAAAACAATTAAAATTTATAATCGTCAGCGATCATAAACTTCTCGAAATAATGGTGTTTAAAATTTATAATCGAAGTGATTGAGATATGTTACTGGTTCTAATTGAAGGTTTCGAGATGAAACTGCGGATGATTTTTGCAGGGTGGTTTTCGAATTTGACCGGAAGAAAACTGCAAAACTACAGAGCATCAAGAGTACAAGTTCCTCTATATTTTCATCCATTCTCGTGTATATATGTATATGTCTGATTTGTTTGTATATTTATTGTGCCACATGTTAATTTATGCGTTTTACCTGATGTGGCATCTACAAATGAGACACGAAACAAAAAACAAAACGAATAAAGTTTATACGCAATGGTGAAAATATAAATGTAAATTTTTAGGTTCCATTTTTTTAGGTTCCTAAATGGTGCATCATATTTTGTTACTCTTCCTCATAGTCGAATATTTGAACTTAAATATTATCCCATAGAACAATCGACCCATTTGTCGAATTGTTTCACAAAATTATATAGTATTAGTACAGTCAAAATAGTTTCGATTCTTAACAGCAAATAGTAGTTGAAGCAACTACAAGCCAAGATTTTCTTTTATTCTTTTTTTCCGGAATCATATGAATAGATCACTAACACGGAAACAAATGGGTACGCAGAAAGACGAGGCATATCATTCAAATCCAGAATGTCATTATTATTTAAATCCACCAACAATAGAAGAAGTTGATTCAACATCACACATAACAGAAAACACGAGATACTGGAAAAGTAGTTAAAGTATAAGTGTACCACACGATCTTAAGCATACAAAGTAACTAGATTGATAATAGCTTCACATATCATAGTACTCCCTCCGAGACAAGGTTGAATAGCCACAATGCGAATATAGACGATGCAGCTTAAAAACCATGAATCTTGATATGCTCCTTCTTCACGATTCCCGCCTGTTTTTCAGAACCAATGATTACGTTAACCGATTATCCAAGTATATAGGAGCATCAAAAGTACAAACTTCAAAATCCAGTTAAATGTTTCCACATATGTACAATATTTGGTTTATTTTCTCCGACTCAATATTCTAACTCATTTAGTTTTTGGTAAATTATCTTCGTACTAAATATAGTGATGCAGGGAAACGAGGTAATAATTACCTGAACAAGAAACGAAGAAACGTTCTTTCGCTGATCACCTTGGAGTTGAATAACCTTAACAAGAAAAAAAAAATAATAATAATAAGTCGTGATTTTTTAATGAGAGAGAATAGATAAGCGGAAAGGGAAGGAAGACTTAAATTGAACACAAACCTGGCCTAATTCTGGGTCCTGGACAACAGTTCCATTGCAGCAAAATTCTTTCTTAAGATCCTTCAAGATTTTGTTATAGCTGAATTCTTTCTTCAATCCCTGGACAGTTGTCAGGCTTTTCCGACCATTTCGCTGCTGTACACGAATGTGAACGTAGTCCTTTGTTCCGGCACCAGAATTCTCAGCATTTGCATCAGCAAAAGGATCTATTCATTGCACACAAAGGATTAGTTCAATTAGTTCCAACAAAAAGAGAACGACTTCTAATCTCTTTGCATCTAACATGCGCACTAAGAAATAGCAAATTTTTTATTCTGGCTTATTTCTTTACAGGTAGTATACGTTTGGTTAAAGCAAGATACGAGAGCAGCATAATAATCGTTCGAGAAACAAGAAAGTAAGATGAACACAAGCATAGCATACCGAAAGTAGTAGGAATTTGGATATCAAGATCAGACATGAACGTTGGTTGATTCAGGAAACGAGAACAAGCGAACAAGAATTCCTCAAGCTAGATTTGAATGCTCAGACCTGATCAAAGAAGAAAAACAAATAAATATCAACAATCAGCCTAAATATATGTACTAAAATCATATACTGAACCATCAATTCGGTCAAAAGATCCTATGTTTGAACAAAGAAAATAGCTTTAAACATATGCCAAAGACGAATCGAATCGGTAAATCATACAGCCGTTAATCTATGACATGTCCCTAAATTGTATCACGAGATCACTCCACAACTAAACTCAAAACCAATAGCGAGCAAAAAAAAAATACGCTGGCCAATAAAGAAAGAAAGCCCCGAATAACAGCAGACTCACGAAAACCACCAAATTTAGTTGCAATAGCTCTAATTTCAAGAAACAATAATTTTATTCTCGGAATCTCTAACCCACATAAATTGGGGATTCTATCTATGTCATAAAAATTAGCAATTTGAAAAGTCCGACGAAAATCACGGAATAAACAAAAACCCTATCGTATTGATTGATACAGAGTTACACATCAAACAGGGTTAAAAAGATTGAATCAAGAATCCAAAACCACAATTTTCGAACCAAAAAAAAAAAAAAGCAACAAAACCCTAATCCCCAAATTCGTGAACACAAAATTCAATCATAAAAGACCAAAAAAAAAAGGAGTGGATCAAACACCACACAACGAAGAAGAATCAGACGCCTCTACTACAGACCAACAAATTTGAAACGAGAAACAAAATTAACGACGAAAAATCGCCGGAATCATACCGCAGAAACCACAGAGAAACAGATCTGAAAGAATTAATCGAAATTGACAAAGGAATGAATGAAAGATTCTACCTTATCCGAAAATTAGGGGTGAACTGTGAAGATCGAAGGGGCAAAGTAGAGATCAATAGGCCCAAATCGGATAAAGTCTGAGCAGAGAGAGAGAGAGTAGAGAGAGAAGAAAGCGTGTGTTAAATTGGTAGGGAGAAAATAAAGAGATATAATAAAAGTGGGGTTTTATAGTCTGCTTCGCGGGCAGGTTTGCACCCGTATCTATGAGACGGTCGCGTAAAGTTCACGATGGGCCTGGCCCACGCTATTTACGGCCCATCAACTAAACTTTGGGACTACAATATTATGTTTAAGTAATAAAGATTGCAAATTAATATCAAAAAAATCAGAGTGGCGCAGCGGAAGCGTGGTGGGCCCATAACCCACAGGTCCCAGGATCGAAACCTGGCTCTGATAATTTTGACTTTTTATGGAGGAGGAGGTGATGAAATTGTTAGAGGAAGCTCATCGGAAGAAGGTAATCAATGGAGGAGGAGGTGATGAATTTGACTTTTTATGGAGGAGGAGGTGATGAAATTGTTAGAGGAAGCTCATCGGAAGAAGGTAATCAATGGAGGAGGAGGTGATGAAATTGTTAGAGGAAGCGAAGCCGAAGCTCGAGAAGGAATACTGCGTTCGAATTTCGGACGGCGCTTTTGATCTAGCCGTTCGTGGATACCTCGATCCCAAACTGATGATCTCTGGTTAGTTGATATTCACAATTATCCCCAATTCAACAATCCGCAATTTTTAATTAGTTAATTTGTTTATCTATTGATGTTTGTTTGTTTGTGTGTTTTTTTTGTTTTTAATTATATACCAGAGGACACAAACCATGAATATAAAAGAGCTGTTGAAATCTTAGCTGGAGCATGCAATTTGGTGCAGAGAAATTTCAGGAATGGTGCCCACGAGAGGGTGTTTTACGACAAGGCATATGAACTGCGTCGAGCCCTTGTCGAACTAACTGAATTGCATTGGGACAGTAGTAACCCGGCCAGCCGATCGTGGGCGTCTCGATTGACGTCCGAACGTGCTTCTGCCTCGCTCTACATGAGTGGCTTTTTACGCAAATGCGACAAAACTGTAAATTCGCCTCTAAGTTGTTGTCGGATTACCTCAAAAATTGCTGAAATACTCGAAAAGTTCGATATTTACGATACAAGCAGCTCGGAGGGGGATGTTGGTCGGTACCTGGACGATCTACAAGGCCAGCTGATTGAACTTTTCCAGCATCTCTTGACTGTAGAGGCGTCTCACGTTGCTGAGGTTTTTATCCCGTGCCGTTTTAAGCTGTTTTATTAATGCTACCTTTAGTTCCAATTAATTTTTTTTTTCCGTTCTTTTTTGCATCGTATCTTCATCTGTGTATTGACATTTTGCTGTGTTCTGATGTAAACGACACCATTCAATGTGTAGGTGGTGAGCAGCCTGACTGATGTCCCGCTTACTCAGATTCTTCCATCTGTCGACAATCATAAGCAGAAGGCCGTATATATGACGAATCTGAGAGTGGTGGATCAAAAGCACGTGATCGATGAAGTTTTTGAAACTGTTGCCTTCCAACGGAATATGACTACCCGCCCTAGAGGTTTATTTCTTCTTTTGGGTGATTCTGGTGTTGGTAAATCGGAGATAGCTAAAGCTGTTGCAGAGCATTGGTATTGTGACGCAAGCAGGCTTGTGGAGATTGACATGTCAGAGTATGCAGAGTGTGATTTGTCGGAATGGTGAGCGCTTATATTCTTTGATTATTTCATTTTGCAATTTTATTAACACCTTCTGAGTTTCTCATTCCTTTGGACGACGTTTTATTGTTAGGTCGCAGAGAAAAGATCAGGATTTGTGGAATCGTCTTACTGAGATTGTGGCAAAACGTCCTTATTCGGTAATTCTTCTGGACAAAATTGACAAGGGTTCGTCCATTGTCACAAGGATTCTCCACGAGGTTTTGTCTGAAACACCAAGTGATACAGAAGGGAAACCTGTTGACTTCTCCAAGTCTATCATTTTCATGACCTCAAGTGTGGGGTCCAAACAACTTACTTTGAAATGTACATGCTATAATCGGAATCAAGATCTTTGGAAACAATTTAAGCGTGATCCCTTGAAATTCTGTAAGACCCACGATTGTACTGTAAAGGGCAGTGGTCGCGAAAGACTTCTCATCGAGGTACGAGTTTTCCCATCTGTTTGAAATTTTGATGTTCGGTGTCTTTCGATTGTTTCTGAGTACAGGCAATTTGTTTCTTTTGATGATATTTGTAGGTGCGAAAAATCTTCAGTGCTGATCTGTTAGATTCATTTGATAAAACTCTCGTGGTGGAGAAATTCCGCGATTGGAAGACTGTTGTGAGGCTGTTGCTTAGGGAAATTGTTAGCGAAGTTACTGGACAAAGATTCGTTGTGCATGCCTCCGATGCTGCGTTAAATGTGTTACTTAACAAGGCATTGGCACCTCCTGTAAGTAGACCTTTTGATGTCTCCCTGTATTTGTGTGATCAATGATGTGCTAATTTTTTTGTCAACTGTATTGATGTTATTGAATGAGAAAGGAGAATATCCATCAAGAATTTTTAGTTAGTTGTATTGAGGATTCTTCTACAATTCTTGTTTGTGGATTGTTTTATGTCTGAAATTATAATTCATTATCTTGTCGCTGTTTGATTTTTCTCTTGTTTCACTGCAGATTGCACATGGAAATGCTTTAAAAAAATCATTGCTTGAGCACGTCATTCCATGGCTATCATCCGCAGAAAGTTGTAACAACAGCGCTCTATTTGTTGATACACTTCTCGGAACAAATGAACTTTCTTTTAGATTTCAATCACATGAGCAGTACGATTGGTATTTCAAGTTGAAGGAGGGAACATTTAAGAATTCGATACTCAATTTAAAAGTGAAGATGGAAGTAGTGTGCATGGTATTTATGTTAAGAAGTGAATACTTACATTTCTTGGATCGTTCCGGTCAAGGTTTACCTCTGAACGTGTTATTAATGGAACTAGTTAGTTGCTATCGGATCTTATCATGTCCGCCATTTCCTAATTCACGAGAAGAATATGTCTCTGCCGAGGTAGTTTTATTTTATTGCTTATATTCAGTACTCTATTTTCTTGTTGACCGTCGAGAGTTTTCTTATGTTTGTGTTATATATGTGCAGAAAATATCACCCAACGCGGGACCTAATAATCTTTATGCAGTTGAAGAAGTAGAGAAGATTAAGAATATGCTGGCAAGACTTCAAGAAAACGATGGTGGCATTGCTAAAGCAACTACTGTTATAGTAAAGTCTGTAATAAAGATCATCGACTATCCATTGGAATTCCCTGATTTTCCAGCAAGACGTTTCCTCTTTGAAGGCCTGAATAGTGATGCTAAAGCGAGACTGATGAGTTACCTTAGTGAGACATTAGGGAACTCGTTCTTCAAATATATCAAACTGGACAGTAACTGCAACACTGAGGAAATAAAGAATTTTTTTATCGAGGCATTGAAAGAGAGCCCATGCATGGTCCTTCTTTTTGACGGAGTTGAATTTGCTGATGCTGAGCTTTATAGACACCTTTTGGAGATTCTTGATAAGGGCATTCTAGAAGACAGTGAGGGTTTCAGTGTTGACTTCCGGAGAACCGTTATTATCCTTACATCAGAGGTGGCTGATAAACATCGACTTGCCAATTGGTTTGGGTATCAACCAATGTATATGCTGCACATGGACAAAAGTCAGGTACTTATTTATTTGCGTATTTGGAACTTCAAGTCATATTCTTATTGGATGATCAAATTAGTCCCTTGTTTGCATGCTTGATTTTGCGAATCTTAGACCACCTTGTTTTGTGATTCTACATTCTTGCCGTTGAAGAATAGTGAGTAATGGAAAAATGGTAGAGTAAGTGCAACTAGAGACAGTAGATTTTGCTCAAGCAAAGGTTAACTAATACCGAGGAAAATCTGAGATTTAAAGACTTGTGTATGGTGCATCATTGATATTGTAGAGTTTAGAAGAGGGAGATGTATGTATACGTAAAGAAAATTATATGCTTTTGTGCAAGTAGATAGAAGTTGGGATTCCCTATAATTGGATTTTTCGCTTTGCGATTTTCCTGTGTCAAAGTGAAGATGAATAATGTAAATGCTATTTGTTGCGAATTTTCTCGTCACTAATATCTCACTAGGGAGAAATGGGTTTCACATTTCCACATTTGACATCTAACCGCAACACAAGGAAAATTCTCGAGACAATCAGTGTGTTAATTTCTATTCTTTAAATCCCGGGATCTTTTTGTTTCAATCTTTGAAATTGGAAATGAATTGAAAATATTGCTTGTTTAATCCATGCTAATTAAACTTACTTTTATATGTTGTGTTTGCTATTGGCAGAAGGTGAAAAGATACAGGACGGAGTTGCTTCACCGGGCTGATGAGATAATCTTCTTTGATCCAGTCGCACCTGTGCATGGAAAAATTCGTCGGATCCCTAAAAGTTATTTACGTTCTTTGAAAAGAAAAGATAATTCTCGGTTGTTTAGATGTTTATATTCGGCGGTGTGGCCTCATGGTGACGTAAGTTGTATTCGATGCAAATTTCGAAATGAAGCTTATTCGCTAAGTTGATCTTTTTATCTGTTTGCAGGTCTAAAGTTGATCTTTTTATCTTTTGCAGGTTATGCTAAATCGCGAAAGGAACTTTGTAGAGATGTGAAGTATCATCATTCCACGAAGTTCGATTTCGGAGGGATATTATTAACCCCTTTCGAATCTTGAAATTGGTATTTGTGTGTTATTGCAACGTGATCGAGATACCAAGCTTCCTGGGGCCTCTGTCTATAAAATTTCTGGATTAATTAATTAATTAATACTATAGATATTATGTTTATTTTTAATTTTTTTTTTTGTCAATATTTTTATGTTAGCCCTTTTAAATTATTTATTTATTCTATGGGTAAATTACAAACACCCCCCTGAGGTATGATCAAATTACAAAAACCCCCCTCTTGTTTGGATAATTACATCTACCCCCCTCAACTATGATTTTTTCTTAGACCTCCACCTTTATGGTGCCAAATTCAACATAGTCATCTAAATTCCGTGAAATGTGCTATAGTTTGTACTCGTTTTGCATAAAAAATACAGTTTGCGATGCACTACAAACTGATATGTACTAGCTAAAAATCACATATTATGATCATCTTGCTTTATAATGTAGAGTTTGAATGGTATAAAACGGGTACAAAAGTGATAATATTACATATAATCTCGAAAATTCCACTAAATTTGAGGAGTTGAGGGGGGTGGTTGTAATTATCCAAACAAGAGGGGTGTTTTTGTAATTTGACCATACCTCAGGGAGGTGTTTGTAATTTACCCTTATTCTAAATATCATTAATATGGATTATGAAAAGTGGCGAACTAATAATTTATGTAGTATATTCCTACCATCATACTCAGCAACTCTCAACCAACTTATTAGGGTAAATTACAACCAAACCCCTCATGTATGCTCAAATTACAAAAAAAAAACCGGGATCCTCTAGATCGCCTGCAGCTCAAGCTGCCTGCCGTCTTCCCCCTTTTTACTTTTTT